TGTATGTGTGTGTGTGTGTGCTGGCTGAATGGAATCCCTCTCTTCCCGAGCTGATGCATAGTCAGCCTTGTACTGTGTATCACTGACAGGAAGACTGCATTATTTATCAGCCACAAGGTCCATTTCATCTGTTTTTGTCCTTTTATACAGCTAACATGTCTCCTTTATAGTCTGATTTTGCATGTAAAGTGCATAGCCTATCAAATGTAAAACCATGTATTTTTAGCATGGATCATAGCACACAGACCTGCAAATTCAACACACAACATATAGTGTAAGCCTGTGTAAGATAGAGCTATTTTAAATGCATGCTTACCAAAGTGGAGTAGATAGGCAGCTCTTTGTTTGGATTGACCAGCAGAAGGATGTGTCCAATGTAAGTCTACAAAAGAGAAGAAAAACACCATGAATTATCTTTTACTCTGTAACTTGGTTGGGAAATAGTAAAGTAAAACCAATAATGTGAAACATTTATCTTTTGGGTGTAAGGTTGCACAGCTCTGCTTTGATTGACACACAGACAGGCTGAAGCTGGGTTATAATTACTTACAGACTGCCTCGAGCTAACACTGAGTGCTGAGTGCTGTCCCACTCTTTCTTTAACATTAGTATTCATGGTGGTGACAATCTCTGTTCCCAAAAGAATATGGTAATCTCATGGCAGAGAAAGGTTAGGAAGGGACCTCCTATGATAACCTCAGTAATGACCTTTCTTGAGTAAAAACAACAAATCTGCCTTCCCACACAGCGCACACACAAACCCCGAGGCCATTTAGATACAAATAACCAACTTCCAATATCTGACCCTTTCCGTTAAACTGCTAACCCGCCGTTTCTCACAAAGAGTCCCGGAGGCTGTTTGAAAACCAATGCTCTGTCCCCTGGGAGGGCACAGACATTGGTAACATTCTGTAACATGCTGCTCTGTCCTTAGGTCCTGGCTCAAGGTTAATGACTTGGACATATTCCCACTGCTCGCAGGCGCAGATCGAAATTCACACTACAAGTTTGGTGTTTATTACTGAGTAAGACTTGTCTGATAACTGTGCGCCACTTCCCAACTAACTGTTGTTTAATCTTGTGACATGCTTGTCAGTAATCCAGCTTTCATCAATGTCTTCTGTCATATCTCTCCCCAGTTCCTTGCCGCTCTCCTCAGGGGTGTAGCAGTGCACTGGTCCTTCGATCCTGGCAGAAGCCAGTAGACCACTCATCAAAGCCCCCCATCTCTGACCACCCTGCTGGGAACATATGGACCATTCACTGCCTTTTGTCCTCCCCCTATTTCTGTCCTTTGCCATATCACTGCTAAATAAAGTCAGGAGACCTTATGTATAGAAACAAGAAGATTGAGAACAGAAATGCAAATCATTTTTATTATTTAATTTATTTGTTAACATGAAAGGTTTAAGCTATTTTTGGTCTATAAGAAAAGATGGATACTATGTTTAAATCTTTACCATTACATGTAAAGCTTTTATTTAGCTAACTGGCTGTGTTTAGGAATATCTTTGCTACAATCAGAATGGAGCATAATGTGTGACTGTACCATGCGCACCTTCATGGCAGAAGAGTTATACACAATTCCATCAGACGTGCTGTGATGTCCCCATGGTGGCTGATCTTTGTCCACTAACAATCCTTTCTTTTCACCACTTCTTCTTCCAAATGGACTCGAGCCCTCATTATTATAAATTCTAATCATTTCTCTCTTCTTCATCCACCAATCTACTGCCTTTTATTGTCATCCCCTTATCTGTGTCCCCTGCTGTGGCTAACCCTACTGTCTGTCGCCCATCTGGGTTAATAACAGTCTATTACTGCTTCTTCACAGAGAAGAGGGTGCACCGGATAGTGCCACATTGATCTGGTTCCAGTCTTTATAGAGCTCAGTCCCCACGGAGAAGTATGGGCCAGACTACAGTTTTGAAGGAATGGAGAAAATGAAAAGAATATAAAATGGACCAATTGTTGGAGATGAAGGTATTTTACTCTTCAATATAGTTATGGATTTATCTTTCCAATCGGTTCCAAATGGTATTGATTTTGCAATTGCCACCAATGTAAGTATGCATGCGTGTGTGTGTGCATGTGCCTGTGTGTGTGTGTG